TAGTGTGCGCTGACAACCTAGAATGAATTCAATTTGGAGGTAAACACTGTACACAGACTTTGGTGGATGTGAAGCATCTTTTTTGTTTGGCACTTCCATATTATTAAGTTGGATGTATCAGGGCTTTTAGAGAAATCAGAGATTCCAAGTCGTATTTCTACTTTGATGCTGACATGAATGCTATTTACCAGTCAGAAACTGGTAATTACGGTAATTACTGGAAACAGGAACCCGACAAAAGGCAAAGGTTAGGGGAGGGAATGTATTCTTATGCTAGTGAGGGTTTACACAACTATACAGTAGGAGAATAAATGTGTGTGTGTGTGTGTGTGTGTGTGTGTGTGTGTGTGTGTGTGTGTGTGTGTGTGTGTGTGTGTGTGTGTGTGTGTGTGTGTGTGTGTGTGTGTGTGAGTGAGTGAGTGAGTGAGTGAGTGAGTGAGTGCGTGACCTGAGCTTGAACCACTTGTCCTCTTCATGTCTCTTCTGACTGAACTATATCAGATTTACATACTCTGTAAGCAGCAAGTCTTTGCAGATGGAGCCTATACGATTCAGTTTTTATTGTTTATATCTTTGTATTTGAGTACTGTAGGAAACATGAATACGTCATCAAATGCTTGTGTGTGTGCGTGTGTGTGTGTGTGTGTGTGTGTGTGTGTGTGGAACATCCATAATGAATGTTACCTAGCTGTGTTATGATAATAAATCTGGTTTTGCTCTCAGTATTCCTCTGTGCAGTTGACATAGATTTTAGTCATTTCTAATCGGACTGCAGGAAGAGGTTTGAATTGGCTGTAATACAAAGATGCAGGAAACAGGTCTGCTTTAATATGGAAACACAAAAGGACAATAAAATACTGCCCACATGGGTTTCCGTCTCCTCTTGAACCGTCTGTCACTGTTCTCTTATTCTCAATTAAAACAAGCAAAAGGGTCTGAATGTGTACACTGATCACTTTATCCCCTCCTACTCCATTCAACCTGATGTCATCTGTATTTCCTGTTATTGCACATACAATTACACTTTCACAGCTTCAGTAATTATTGTGTTGCTCTGCTTCTCTTCCTCTTTTATCTGTGCTGACATCAGCTGTGAGTCTTGCAGCCTGCTCACTCGATGTCTGTTTTATCTCTCGTTCCCTCACTCATGGACTGTATTTCCTCCTCCTCCTGTTTACACTGGATGTGCAGGCACTGCCTTTTGTCTTTATGGAGCGACTCCCTGCTGGCATAGTGCCTAGAACAACTCTCTAATCTAATAAACAGCATAATCAGGCCACTGCTCCTGCCGGGGTGTTTCACCAGAGTGTGAGCCCCAGAGGCAGAGCGGATTCAAGGGTTGTGGCCTAATGGGGACAGGCTTGTGTAGGCCTTGTTCTCTCTGTGTGTTAACAATCTGTTGTATATCATCAATGTGTCAGCTGTAGTGTGCATGTATGTTTGCGTGTCTGGCTCAGAGCATCTGCTGTGTGTGGACAGTCAAGTCCAAGTCTGTAGGCTGAGTCAAGAGTGCAGCATTGAAGTCCTCAGCCAGCCTCTTTGTGGCTCAGCAGGAGCTTCAGATCTGGGTGGGAGGTGGAGGTTTGGGGTGCACCACCCTCAGTTTTCTCCCCTCCTGACCACTCGAAGTAAAGCCTCCTCTCTCTGCTGGAGATACAGCATCTCTCTGTGGAGGCAGAACACACGACTGGTGCTCTTGGAGCTTATACTGATTCTCTGCTTGTCCTCCTCCTCCTCCTCCTCCTCTTCCCCTGCCTCCTGCTGTTGCTGCCTCTTTTCTCTCTGCTTCTAGTTGTCTGCAGTTACTCAAATGCACTTCATTGCCATACCAACACCAAACCTTTATTTATTGAATGCTTCAAAATGAGACAAGAAAATTATGCCCACCATATTGACTGCTGTCAGGACAGTTGATCTCATTAAGCGCTCAAATTGGGAAAAACAGAACAGAATGAACAGAATGATTTATTAACTGAATGTTGTTTGTCATGTTGTTGTTCCTTGATTATATTTATTAGTTATATATAATGGGTTTAGATAATGTTACACAAACTTCCTGCAGTTATTGTGTTCACTCTTCACAATTGTCCTTTTACAGATGTTGGTTTGCATTGAATATAATATGAAATATCCATAAAATAGGTCACTAGCCTACATAGCTAGATATGCTATGTGCTAGACTCGTCTATGTTGAAAAGACAAAAGTTTTGAAAATGGCTAAAAGATAAAAGCAACAAAATGTCAGCTAATTATCGATTGATGTAGATTAGCTAGCTCATTAGCTAGCATTTTGAGATGTGACTATATATATGTTGCGTTTATCTTTCAACCATCTTCAAAATGTTGATGTTTTTTCAATATTGACGCGTCTAGCACACAGTGTATCTAAGTAGGCCTACAGGAAATGAGCAAGTTAATCGAGTTTCTGACTGAGGCTTCCTCAACTGTTATTAGAGCACAGAGCAAAAAGGTGCTTGAAGGGTCAATTGTCTCACATCTCTCACTGAAGTCTGTCCCCTCGGACGTGGTTCTTCTCCCACTGTTCTTCTCTCCATTTCCCTACCTTTATTCCCTACTTTCCCTGTCTATGTCAGATTTGTGATTGTGTGAATAAGCCCCTATCAGTAAGTAAACACCAGACATACGCTGTTACAAGTGTCTCAATTCTGTTCAAGGACAGTTAAAGGACTGTAAAACAACAACAACAACCATAAATTGTTGCATAAATGGAAATATACATTTGGAAAAGCAGCTGATCTGACCATACACTAACATATATTCAGTGTAAAATCAATGTTGAAACAGAGCTTTTGCAGAACCACACAGATCATACAGCCATGATAATAGCACAGATGCAGATATCAGTTTGCTCTAGATTAGCATACCACTGATGTATAATGCAGCCATTACTGACGTATTAAACATTTCAACAGAATCAGTCCATTCCTTCTATTGAAAATTGCTTCCCCAACTCACAGTTCCTTTAATGCATTCACATTAGTGTCTTTGTCTAGACAAACCTGGCCTACTGCCGGCACTTGTGGCTGGAATGAAAATAATATCTTGATAGTCTTTGTGGTTCTTAAATATGTGGTTGTTTTAAAATGTTGGGGGTTGCTCAGGATATTGGTTTCTACAGCGATTACTTGTTAAAAAGTAGAACGTGTAGAAACTGAAGCTTTCGACAGTAACTTCTACTCCAATATCACACCACAACCCAACACCTTTTCTGTGATCCACAGCACACAATATGGAAATTCCATCATTTAAAACGTACAAGACTTGACCTTTGGGTCAATAGGAATTTAAAAAATAAACATTTAGAGTTGCTGGAGGCTGGAGACCGGAGACTTGAGCTGCATGTTGTTGAGAAAGATTTTGTTATATGCATTATGCATTATATGAGATTCTTCTGTAGTCTAGAGCTGCATTTCCCCAGTTAATCAAGAAATAGTTTTGTCCATGAAATATCTATGAAATGAATGTCTAAAATGTAGAAAGATGTCCATTATACATTTCCATATTCAAGAGTCCAATCCAATAATAAATTAAATCTGCACATTTTAGTAAGTGGAACCAGTGAACGTTTGCTTGAAAATGATTATTGAAATCGCTGCAGATAAAATTTCTTTCGATCTACTGATCAGTTAATCAGCCAATACATTAATTAACCAAAGATAATAGAAACTACACGTCACATGTGAACTTGTATCTCTAAGATTCTCTCCTTACTGTTGGGAAATCTTTGGGATGAGAATAAGGAGTCAAAAGAAGACGAAAACTACAGTCCTTCTCTACAGCGTTGATAAGCAAATGGATCTCATAGACTGCTAATTGGGAATTGAATTAGTTTGACAGAGGCTGGATGAATGAGATAGAAGCCGCATGAGACCCCAGCTAATGTAGTGTAATGGCTGATATGTGATTAGAAATTAGTATTTCAGAATGAATCATTAGTTCGATGCCAGAAAGTTTGAGAAGTTGTAACTTTTAGAGATGAATGTTTTGAATTTTTAGATGTTGGAAGCTCTCTTTTAGCATCAATTAAAGTTATTTAAAGTCCCTGTTTAGCCTGAATCTTTTTTTAGTTTTGTTATAGTTTGAGTTAGAAATGGAAACCTTTTTAGAGATTACAATACATGCCAACAATTTCCGACTGTGCTGATGTAAATATACCAGCAGTAACACCAGACATATGGCAATACACTTACAGCAGAACACACTACTAACTTTTTTCTGTTGTTGTCTAATGTTATTTCTATTTCTTCCCATATTGTACATTTGGACATTTGGGGAAATATGTGCTCTCACTTTCTTGCAGAGAGTTACTGTAGATGAGAAGTGAGAATGTAGGGAGCTTTAGAGGTGCTGCTAGGTGGATTTGAAATGTTTCCCTGTTGCCAGTCTTTATAGTGAGATAAGCTAATCGTCTTTTAACTAGCTTCATAACAGACAGACATGAGAGTGATGTTCATCTTCTCGTCTAACTCTCATCAAGAAAGAAAATAACCATATTTCACACAAATTCTGAACCATTCCTTCAGGCTGAAATGTCTTCATGTATCTGCAAACGCTGTATAAAGGTGTATAAAAGTCAAGGTTTTTTCTTCCCCCAGGTTCTAATTCAATGATAACTTGCTAATCACTCGACCTGTGGTTCTAATTACAAGTGCCGTTAAGTGCTCCTTATTTCTAATCAGTTGATGGGTGGAGAGGTTGGGAGAGTGTTAACAATGTCCTATTTAACCTTGAATAATGCATTACATGTTCCAGTCCAGTGGTGACCAGTGTTATTTTAGAGCATGTCTTGCGTTTTACATTGAAGTCTTTTGAATTATTTCTGTGATCATTTTCATTGTTTTACCTTTTAGCTGTTTCAAATAATTCCCTGTGTGTGTGTGTGTGTGTGTGTGTGTGTGTGTGTGTGTGTGTGTGTGTGTGTGTGTGTGTGTGTGTGTGTGTGTGTGTGTGTGTGTGTGTGTGTGTGTGTGTTTGTCCAGGGGAAGGAGACGACAGAGGAGGAGGATGAAGTGGCCGTGGGGATGGAAAAAGGCTTCATGGACGAATTCTTTGAACAGGTTTGTTTCTCTCACAGTCTTGATCTTTTTTTTCTTCTCTCTCTCTCTCTCTCTCTCTCTCTCTCTCTCTCTCTCTCTCTCTCTCTCTCTTGTCTGTCAGTCATCACTTCTATTCCCATTCACATATTTAACAGGTTGATAGTAGGCTAATAGCTCGCCATCTTAAATTAAAGTCCAGATAACTTGCTGAACTACAATATGCCCGTGTATCCACCGTCTCCTGATGTTGAATCTAATCGTGTTGGTTTTTCAGAGGCTCTGTAATCAATCTCATGCCATTTCTCCTGTCTGGGGAGCATTCATATGATTTATAGCTATTGATGTTGTCGCTCGTGTGGCAAGGATCACCTTGTATTTTATCTCATTTAAAATATTAATTGATTCAACACTGCAACAGTTCTCTTCATGTCCAGTTCTGCATAACAACATTGGTGTTTTCACTTATTTCCTTCCAGTCTCTCCTGTTGTGCATGACAGATACTGTATGCAGTGAGCCTGTGTAAAACTGCATCTGTGAATGCATTTGAGAGAGTATTTCCCTGTTCACGCTGTGCACATGTGCTGAACACAAACTGAACATCGTCATGGCTCTCAGAGAGGGGTGGTGGTCCATGTTAAGTGGCCTGCTACATACATCTCCCACGATTGGTTCAAATGTAAAACGCAGGAATATTCAGCTCAAATAAGTAGAGTCCATATCTATCATCATTCATCATGTCTTTCATCCGCTGTCGCTGCTCTTATATTTCACGAGGCAGCCTGTGTATTACAATTTACGTACATCAGGGCTTTAACTTTGAAGTGTTTCAATATCCATTGCAAATGGGGCTACAAAGTAGGTCGTGAGAGGTTGAATGGCGTTTACCAGCATTTGTGAGTTATGAAAGAGGTCTGACTAACAGCTCTTTGATATGTGAGTTTTCAAAGCAACACGAGACAACAAACACATCACCAAAGAGGTTAAATTGTCTGTGACTGAGCAGCAGGTGCATCAATCAAAAGCCCTGTATAGATATTTCATATAAAAAGGGTATATACATTAAAAAATCGTGACAGAAAATACAGACGACACCTGCAACGAGAAACAGCTGTTACTTATTGTAACTAACCAACAGGCATATGATGGTCGTACTGTATATAATATAGGGGTTTGACAATTGCTGCTAAATTGAACCACGTGGTATTTCAGGCAGGCATAGCAGTCATTTTAAATTCACGTGTCCCATATATCTACAATCATATATGACCAAGACCATTAATTCAAGCAACTGGGCTGCACACAAATACAAATAGTGCTCATTCATTCGGCTTCCATGCTGCTACAACCTGCTTCTCAGTAGTTCAACTCCCTCCCCCTCCCCCGCTTCCTCCTGCATTAGCATTTAGATTTGTCCATTCATTCATTCAGAATGAGTCCATGTAAATTTAAGTGTTGTGTATCTCACGCTCTCCTGTGTGTTTGTGAGCTTAGAGACAAGTCTGTGTCACACTTGCACTTGCAGAATCATAGGAGCAGAGCCACGCTGCTAAATGAAAATGTGTCCCACTGCTGCAATAAACAATTAAGGTAATAATCTCTATGATTTTCATTTAAATAAACGTCTGTTGAGTCACTATCTATCTCAAACTGGGTGGCGGAAATATTTTGATGTATTAAGTTGCAAACCAAACATTTCCTACTGCTGCAGCTTCACATTAAAAGTCAAGAGTGGACTTTTATTTTGAACTAGTCACAAGAAATGCAGTGTGTTTGCCACTGAGATTAGCACTGACTGGTATTGTTCACAGAAAATGCATCTACAAAACAAGACAAAGGTAATTTTGTCATTTTTTGACAGCAATATTTGAGGGAGTAATGGAACGAGAAGGAGCAGCCACACTGAGCTGTTAGATGAAGAGTTGCAGGCGACAGGCTGCACACCTCCAACTTCTCAGCAAGGTAACCAACTCGCTCCACTGAACCCTGCTGTTAGCAGACTCATGCTGTGTGCAGCATAAAATCAGATCACGGTTTCTCGGAATGATTAAAAAAGGTCAATTATTGCCTGGTGTCTTTATTAAAGGACCAGTGTGTAGGTCTTAGTGGCATCTAGTGAGATTATAGATTGCAATCAGCTGAGATCCTGTGACTCAACCGAGCACAAAGCAGAAACTACAGTGGCTGCAGAACTCAAGAAAAACATGTAAGGCCCTATCTAGAGGCAGTGTTTGTTTTGTCCGTTCTGAGCTACTGTAGAGACATGGCAGACTCTGTGGACTCTGCAGCATCTGTAAATATAAAAGGCTCATTCTAAGGTAACAGAAACATAAGAATTCTTCAGGTGATTAAATTAATTAAAACTGTCATGCAGATTGATCTGACCTATCTTTTAGAAGAGTTTTCAATGGTGTTTATCTGAAGAAGTTCCTCTAAGAACGCCAGTCTGACTGGGAGATTTCAAAAGGAGACCAGGAAGCATCCTTATTAGGTGCTCAAACTACCTGAACTGGCTACTATCATTGTAAAGGTGCTGTGGCTTGATTCATCTCAGCTGCTAGACAGAGTGTAATATAGTCCTAAAGACAGTAAGTGTGCATTTAAGGGTTAAGCAATTCACTCATTATGGAAAGAGAAGCCTATTATAAGGCTTAAAGGTGCTGATCTTCATCTTAGCAGCGTCACACTGAGCTGCAAACTCTTTCATAGTACATCAGGGATTGAATTCCAATAAAACCAAACGGACAACATCATCTGCAAATAGAAGAGATGCCACCTTAATATCAGACCTCGGCTGCACCTTCATATCCTGTCTATTAATATCAAAAGAGAGGTGATGATCAAGTAGTCATCAAGTTGTCCAGTTCAGTGCCCAGAATTGCACACGGCTGACTTCATAATGAAAATCCAAACAAAGATTTCACTTGGAGTGCACGAATATCTCCCAGCTTCCCATAAATCTATTTTTACAGATGAGATTCTTTCAAGTAGGTTTTTACATCTGCACCCAGGACTAAATACGCAGAGTTCCAGATTTGACAATCATTACAGGGGTGTAATACATGGTATAACTTCAAAATTACATCTAAAACACTGTAATTATGTTTAAGCTCTGAGGGAACACTGCAGGCTCTCACATTTTCCTGCTCTCATTTCTGCTCGTTGGCCTCTGACAGACTGTCTGTATCCATCCTAGATACTGGAACGTACATCTCTTTATCTGTCTGGAATTTCCGTCTGTTACATTTGTCTCAAGTGAGAAAGTGAAGGAAGAGGAAGATGAGTGAAATGTGGCGACAGGGGGATCAACAGAGAACAGTTTGAGACCAAGCAAAAAGGGAGGAGTGACGGTGAAAAGAGAGTGATGTGGATAAGTTAGACAACCAGACCAGAGAGGAGGGATCTGGTAGGAAGAGAGGGAGATGTAGATAGTGAAGGAAGCAGATTAAAGGAGCAGAGGAAGAGAAGGAGTAATCAGGCTCTCACCCTGACTGGGTGCGTTAATTAAGCTTTCAGTGGCTATCTTGAGGGATACTAGACAGATAGTAGGGGAGACCACGGCAGCCCTCTGTCCATTACTCACACCATAAACATGACCCTCAGAGTCTGGGTATTGATTTCATAATGTGTTTGTGGTATTTGTTTGTGCAAGCATGCATGTGGCTGTGTCTCTGTCTGGTTTTGCACCATAATGGGATAAAGTGTGTGTGTGAGTGTGTTTGTGTGGATGTAATTGCCTATATGGCAATTTAAGAATAAGGCTACATTTTATCATTGTCAACAAATCCCTTGAAGAAACCAAAACCAACAATGCATTTATCCTTAACAAGACATGAACAGCGTGATACAGGTTATGCCTCTTACATCGTCATCCATAATCTCCAAGAGCCCAAGTGGAAAGTGAGTCAAAGATGAGAAAGAAAGTATCAATTTTTCATGAAATTTCTCATTAAAATATTATTACATAAAAAATATTGTTATTCATAGTAAAACATCGGAATATTTAGATTTTGATTTCTTTTAGTTTACTTTGTCTAAAACATCTTGGAAAAGAAGGCATGATGGATATTTTAATTAGTCTTTACTTTGATCTCACTAGTACGTTAGAAATACATATTCTTTATTCCTACCTTTACTTTAAATTGTTTGTTGTTGTAGATATAAAGGTCTGAAAATCTGATTATATAAGTTATGTGAAATGGTATTCATTTATACTTTTCACAAGGGATGTAATGATACATTCAACTCATGATTCAATACAATTGACAATACTGGGTTAATGATTCTTTCATGTTTGTTGAAGACAAATTATGAATTAAAAAGATTTTCTCAGACAAGAATTTACAAAATATATAATTTTTTATTTTTTTATTTTAATTTATTTTATTAAATTATAGAATCGCTCTTTATTTCTGAAGTAGGGTATTAATAAACAGTGTGTTTGCTTTTTGTGAAGTGTAACTAATGTCTTTGCGCCTTGATACCACAATAAATTTTTCATCTCACCGATTTGAATCTTCACATATTTGTATCATGATATATTTTAACTTTTCACAGTGTCATCTGAAAATTGAGAATGTGCTGCATCCAGGATCTGATTTATGTTCTTATGTTTAATTCTGGGCATATTCACAGGCCTGACACAGTGATGAAAGAAACCATTGATCATCACTACTAAAACACATGGAGGAGCCTTACTGTTGCCTGTCGGTGACATTTTTCTTCATCATGAACCAGAGAAGTTTTTCTACTCTCAGCTCATCAAACTAGCAAAGCAAACACAACCTGGTCGGTGATTGAGTTTTAAAATGAAATGTTGGAGTTGGAGTGGCTAAATCACTACAGATGGGAACTGTAATGAAGTCTTTACCTTCTGCTATGTCATTCAACAGCAGGTTTGACATGTGACATACAGGCTGTTTACCTCCACACTTTATGGCCTTCAGTCTGGATGTGTAATCTGGACCATATGTTGTATGTTGATTTCACACCTTTGATTCAAGTGTTTGCATGCTTGTGTCTGCAACATGTGATGCTTAGTTGAGGCTTCAGCCTTATGAACTAAGCTGTAACACTGAGGAACCCTGCTAAGGTTTTAATGTTTTATGATGCTGTAAAAGGTTTGTTTACCGTTACAGTTATAGTTTTGTGGTAAATCAGGCCTATATGTTGAATTATGATGGATTTAGAAACACAGTATTCTGATTTTCCCTATATTAGTTTTAAACTGTGCATAAACCTCAAAGCTTGTAGTAAAGAAAATGTATGAATTTGCCCTTTAACCACTGATTATTACACAGTGAGACAAAGAGTAATAAAGGTCTGCTTAGATTTTCAGCCTTATCCATCTATGTGTCTGCCATATATGAGATGCATATCAACACCATTACATTTATCAGTGCTCTTGTTACATCGTGTGGCGATGCTCATATCACGCCTCCAAAATCCTTCGGGGGGATGATGCAAGAATGAAGTGAGCAAAAGCAAGACAGACTCACTGTGGACTCAAGCCTTCTGAAATTATCCTTACCAGATATAAATTTGACTTTTGAAACTAAAATTAGATGACAAATTCTTTTTGTTTTTCAAATCTGTGGGATTTGGCTGGTTCACAGGGGCGTTTGTAGCAAATACAGACAAACGTCACGGTCCATACAAGCACCTTGTTAAGTTAATTAAGAGAAGTTATAAAATTGTTGACGTCATCCTGTGAGTGTTTGTGTGTCTCTTTATTTGTTTCTGCATGTATGTGAGCTGTTAAAATGATTTTTTCTCCCACACCAATTAAATTTTCCTGATGTCTTTTGAGACCTGAGACGCTCACCATGACTCACTAACACATGGTCTCCAAACTGAGACAGCTTAAAGTGGTTTCATCTTCTGCTCACTTACCATCTATTTCATTTCCTCCTCCTCCCTGTATTCCTGTCTCACTCTTACTTTTTAACTTTGTGATCTCTTCCTACCTTACCTTATTTAACTCGTACCTTAGCGCCTTCTGTAATACATGGTCTCTCCCCAGTGGTCTTCCAGAGCCAATTATGTTGTTATTAAAAAACAGATCCAATCAGCAGCTAATTAAAGACATAATGGGAGAATAATGACCCAGGCTGGGAGGAGGAAAAGCTCAAGAATGTATGGATGCAGAGAAGGAGGGAGTGCAGAGCTGTGAGATGTTAAAGGTGGACTGCAAATGCAAATGTCAAACCGGAGAAATGCACGGGGGAAATAACAATGGACGTATCATAGAAGAATGCAGGGAGAACAGGCTGGCCTGTAGCGGAGCAGGTGTAGAGGAGGAGAACGTGATCGCGGGTAGATGACAGATTGAGATGAAAGTAGAGATTGATGAAGTCACAGACAGATGTGACCTACTGCTCGTCCAGCTGTTGCCTGCGCCAGAGGCAGCACCAGCGGGGTGGGGGAGGAAGGTGATTGGTTAGAATGTCAAACCTGGATCTTGGTGGCAGATGATGCTGTGAAGAGCAGAGTTCAAAGGAGGATACGAATGTGATGCACTTCCAGGGTCAGTTTTCTTTAATGCATTTAATGAAGTAAAGGAGTAATTCAGCATTTCGGGAAATACGTTTTGTAGCTTTCTTGCCAGGAGTTCACTCTGATCCCGCTCTCATGTCTGTACTCTACATAGAAGCTCCTGACAGCAGCCAGTTAGCTTAGCTTAGCATAAAAACAGGGGAAATAGCCAGCCTGGCTCGGTCTGATCTGACTACAAGCTCATTTGTTTAAAAAAATTCCTTTGAGTGTATATATTTGAAAGAGAGATGATGAGCACAACAAATTACAAACTGTAAATGTACCATTTTTTATTCTTTTTTAATATCTTCTGTGGGGATATTTTATTTTTAGCTAATTAGTTTGTTGGGTTCGTCTGTCGTCTTTCTGTACAGTATGGCTGAGATTTGTTTAATAGTTAGGCAACAAGCCAAGAACCTGGCTTGCACAAATGCCTTCAACACAACACCTTTGGGATGAACTGGAACACAGACTGTGAGCCCAACATCATCCCAACCTGACTAATAATTTTGTGGCTGAATGGTAACAAATCTTACTGGGAAGTGTGGAGACTTTATAATTAGATATTCAACGATCAAATATAGGTGTAATGTTCAATCATTCACATACTTGTTGCTATGTGGCGTATACTAGCCTTATCATCTTTTGGTGCTTTTTGCAGCTCCCTTTTCACGGCACAGTCTTATTTAAGCCCTGATTCACACATTCACACCTCAACATCCTGAATTACATCACAGGTTGTAAAGACTCAGGTGAGTGGTGGCTTTCTGTTTCAAAAGTAGGAAACAGAGTCATTTTTATTGCACATAGTGATTAATTTTTTCTGCCAGTTGTTGTAGGTCAAAAATCCTTCATCTGATGTAGCTCTGTTTGTATTAATTGTGATTGACATGTGAATAAATGTCTGTTTATTGATGATATGATATGGTAATTCAGTCCACACATCTCTCACATACACACATACGTAACAGATTGCTCCAGTGTTTGTAAAGTCACATAGAAATTATGATTGAGCCCAGATAAACATGAAAAAACTTTTTATATACTGTATGTGTGTGTGTGTGTGTGTGTGTGTGTGTGTGTGTGTGTGTGTGTGTGTGTGTGTGTGTGTGTGTGTGTGTGTTCTTTCACTTAAACCTGCTTCACTCTGCTTCCATTCTGCCTCTAATATGATAATGACATCTTCAGTTCAGTTTCTATCAACATCACTCAGGCTAATCACTGGTGCTTCCTGCCTCAGCACTGAGGAGATCTAAAGTGCCTTTTGGTCTCTCCCCCTCTCTCTTGTGTCAGGTGGAGGAGATCCGGGGTTTTATCGAGTCGCTGGCAGAGAAAGTCGAGGAGGTGAAGAGGAAGCACAGCGCCATCCTCGCCTCACCTAACCCTGATGAGAGTAAGGCTGTTTGTCTTTCCTGTTTCCTTTAATTCTCTCAGACATAATTTTCTTGGGCTAACAAGCTCAACACACCGGGACTTTCACAACTCTTAGCACTGTATTTTGATGAAGACAGTACTTCAGTTCCTCAGGAGTCCAGATGGTTTTATCTGATTGACCAGTTGCATGTCCTCTGGTTCAATACCACTTTAAAGGAAAATTAAATCAGTGATTTCCACTGCAGAAACTTTCTCAAACTTAACCTACGCTCGACTGAAGCTACTGCAGGACATCTCTTCATTGACAAAATGAGAGGGTACTGGGTGTTGTGTCAATATTATTACGAGGGACTACATTCACAAAAATATTTTAGACTGCTCTGTAGAGTTAGGTCAGTCTTCTTAGATTAGTTCGGTGGTCAGCAAACTTCATTATCAAAAGAGACATTTTGGCCCCAAAAAAGAAAAATCTGTCTGGAGCCGCAAAACATATTTAATCAAGCATACCAGTGAGCCAGCAGGGTTGGTGGTGAAAGAAGCAAACAAGATTCTCTATTTTCCTCTGAGACTTGGAATCAATAGCTCGAGTAGCTGTAGACTCAAGACATACATACAACATATGACGCACATTTTAGTTGACGAAATATTGAAACATTTCTTTTATTTGGTATGTAGTGGCTACACATTTTTACAATGGGAGGATGTAAGAATCACTTAATGCCTACAACAATAATAAATAAATAAATAAATATAATTTTTTGTCAAAGCCACAGGGAGCCACTGGAGAAGGGCTAAAGAGCTACATGCGGCTCCAGAGCCACATGTTGCCTTGTATCCCGGGATTAGTCCAATGCAAGTTAGACAGTTTAATAAAAAAATAAAGGCTTATTTTAATCTTTTTAAAGTTAGCCATGCTTACTGTGAACTAACAGCGACTTTTCCATTGCCTGAAACGGGCTAGTACTTACCACTACTGAGTACAGGCACGTCTGGTATTTGTCCACATGAGTACTCAATCTTATTGCGAACCGCCACCTCTGGTAAGCATGGCAGTAACCACCATTGAGGTCACCAGTGTTTTTTCCAAGGGGTATACAACAAAAGTCATAAAAAAACATCTAAATATGTGATTTGATGCATGCCCCAAAAGGCCCCAAGCAAGTTCAGTTTTTGGACCTCAGCAGCATTGCACTCAGCAGGGCACTCGAAACAACTGCGGAACTGCATCTCTGTGTAAATGTTGAGCTTTTTTGAAGAGGAAACATGATGCCGTCGGTATGAGTAGCCTATAGCTACAGCTACAGTGTCTTCTCCTGTTGTATTTCTGACAGAGTAGTTGCTCAAAGCTGTTTTATTCCACTAGTGAACATTAATGGGTCCTTTCGTACCGAACTCGTGTGCTTGTATTATTTTGATTATTTATTTACAAATGTTAAGAATAATGACCTTACTGTTTTTACTTTTAATTAATCTGTGATTCATCGTGATTTCATTTATTGATTCTACTAAGCCAAGATTGACCGTTTTGCACCCACGCTCTTTAATGATAACATTAAAGTTAAATACTGCGATGACTCAGTAATGAGTCAGAAAAGCAATTAATTGGAAAGCAGAAAGAGAATAGAGCCAAAAGTCACTATTTTATATGCCGTCTATTGTACAATTGCAGCAGAAAGCCTGATAATAGTGACAGATTTCACCGAACAAAAGAAAGAAAAATGACTCCATTCCTTAAAAGCAATTGAGGAAATAAAGAACAATTTGTCGGGCCGTTGATGGAGACTGAGATAGAAGGACCGTGACAATGTTGAGAGCTCTCCCCTTCCTCCGGTCAGTGCTTTCTGTCCTTTTATGCGTTTATCCTCTCGCAGTGAAATCTCTTACACCCTTGTTTGTCCATTTTTCTCCACTTTTCTTCCTTCTTCTTTATTCCTGTCTTTACCTCTTCACCTGCCATCTGCCAGATTTCTTAGCTTCTCTCTCCTCCCTTCGTCCATTTCAGCCACTTTCCTCTTTACTTTTGTTCAGTCTGTGCTGGATTCAACAGTCTATCTTTCCTCCTCTCTCTCTACTCCCCCATTTGTATTCTCTCTCATTTATGTGCAGGCATTGATCTGGACCCCTGCTCTCATGGGGGGTTGTTACTCACACTAGTAACTCTGCCCGATCCCTTTTCCTCTCCCTGATTCCCAACCTTCCACCTACCTGAAAAAAGCATCGATCTGCTTGCGGCGGCAGATGAGCCCTTTAACTAGCCAGTTAGTGCAGATGACACACAGAGCGGAGCGGCAACAAAAACAGGTGCTGCATTTAAGATAGGAATTCTTCCACTCCTTTGTGACTGAAATTGATGCTCTGTGTGTGTGTGTCCTCCTGATAAATGCACATCAGTCAGTGGCTAATGTAAATGTCAGGGTCATTTATCACACAGAGGTCAGCGTGTTCTTTGCAGTCTGCCTGTTGCATTGTGGCCTCTGACAGAGACTAGAATTATCTGAATACCCTCATCAAGGAGCTCCTCTATCTCCTGTGTAGCGTTTTATATTGTGTGTGCATGTGAGTGTCTGTGCAACTCTTATAAATCTAATTTCCACACAACTTAATACATTTTGTTTGGAACCGTAATGCTGCCCCAATTACATTTTTATCAACAACAAAACAAGCAGTAGGACTTTTGTGTATGAGGAATTTCGTTTTTCAAATTGTGATACAGAAAATTGTCACAACATTGAAATGTCCATATTGAATGCATCTGCAAGAAGTTCACTGTCAATGTTTATCATTACTTTTCCTGACAGCTAAAGCATGATTAATGTTTTTAGGCGACTCAAATCACTTGGGTGAGACTAGGAAGACACCATGTTTAATTTTTTAGCACTTTAAAGACAAAAAGAAGAAGATAAGAATAATGACTTTATCAATCTGCATCATTATATTTCACTTCCTTATACAGTTCACACACACACACACACACACACACAGTGAAAGTGCTCGAGCCGTATTAAAAATACAAACATGCACACACATAGACATGCAATTAATGGGAGAGATGTCAGGAGGATTGGGCTGCCACATAGCGACCCCCCCAGTTAGGGGGTTAGGTATCTTGCCTGCGCCTTGACAGTAGCCAGGAGGTGAACACAAGGGGAACAGGAATGATATTTTGCACTAAAAATAAATACACTAGTATGTATACAGTTTTAGTAATGAATTGCGCCAAATGTAATAAATTACAAAGTCATCACTGATTGGGAAAGATGAGAAATGAGCCGTCTCTGGTACCAAAGTCATGTGCCTTGGACAGCCAATCAAACAAGATTTTTGATTTGGGACAGTATAAGAGTGGCACACTTACTGGATGAGAACACTGCCATTGAACATGATCCAGAAAATTAGTATTTTAATATATTATCTATATATATGTATATATATATATTTCTATAAATAAAATTAATAGAAACTAGGGTTGGTGTGTGTGTTGAGATCATAAGAACGTTGCAGTATGTTGGTTTATACTCCTGTGTTTGTGTTACTGCTGTGGTAACCGTCTGTAATTCTGACATTTCAGCTTTCTCTGAAGTGTGTCATCTCAAGTAATTGCACAATGACATTTGAATGTGCAATCATACAACATACTTTAAGTTCTACACTGATTCATTGTTGTATTGTGTGCGAGTGTTCTTTTATCATTTTTATATTAAAAACAGCCTTATTTCTTCTTCCACCTACTCTGTCTGTCTTTGTCTTCTGTCTGTTTTTTTTGCATTATAATACTTGTTTGGTATTGGTTTTTTTTCTCCCCTGTGGTCACAGTTGCCTGTTCCTGCCCTAACTTCAGACCAAATCAAAACTTCATCTCCATCCTGATGAGAATGAGTCTTTTCCTCTTGTAGCAAAAGTATTTTTCTCACAGTAGTTTCTCATCTAAATCCCCTCACTATTCCTCTCTCTGGCATAAAAACTGATATCATGAATATTACCAAAACAGGTGCTGTGACTTTGAGTGTGTGATATTGCGAGTGAGGGTGATCACAGCATCATTTATTTTCTCTCCAGTCTGCAGATAAACAGGATAACGGAGGAGTAGCAGGGAATCACACACACATGTTTTTTTGTTTTTTTTTAGTAAAGGTCTTTCAGAACTCAGCGTAACATTGTGAGACAGTAAACCTTCTGTTTCTGTCACGGTTTATGAGTTTTATAATCACATCAAATCTCCCCAGCCACCACCCACCTGGCAAGCTTCATGACCCCAACCCCCCCCCCCTTCTCCTCCTCCTCCTCTTCCTCCCCCTCTGCTGGGGCAGCTTTTGTGTATGCTGACTGCTCCACTTGCGGAGCCCATATTAATACACACATAGTGACACTGTAATACTGTAATATTACCTTTGTCCCTGCATTACACATTTCCATATCACAGTTTACCCAGCCCCCTAAATGAAGCACAGCAGATCCCCACTAGGGAATTGTAATATACAGTCTGCGTGTGTGCGTGTGTGTGTGTGTGTGTGTGCGTGCGTGCACACGCTTGTTTTTGCTTGGTTGGTGTTAAGGATTTGTGTGTTTGTGTGGGCTGTGCTCAGCAGCAGTATACAGTAGTAGGTTCAATAATGATGATGTATTAGGTAATAGCCATCGGGTCGTAATGGGTATTGAACCTGTGTTTCCTCATGAGCACATTCCTCTAATGCAGGAAGTGAAGACACAAATGCATTTTATATTTAGAAGCATGATTGAACATTGTACATTAAATAATTGCATTGTTTTGTTTTCTAGTATTGTTTGATTGATGAGTCTGTGCTCGATAGATTTCATAACGAAGGGGTCAAAAGTTGGTGACGATTGCTCCTCCTGCAGGAGCATCAGTGGTCTTTGTACTCAGCTCTCCCCGGGAGAGTTTGAGGTTGATATAAAATGAATCATAACGTTTTGGCGTTACATTAGAGCAGTGTTTTTATTGGACAATAAGTCTTTATGACAATGAGATTGTTTCTTTAGATGGTTTCCCATGTTAACCCT